ATTTATTTTAGCCAAATACTATTATTATTTGCCTGGAAATTTAAAAATTTCTCTTTATTTGTATTATATGTTAGGGTGTTTCCCCTCACTTCATTTGTGCCTATTAATACTGTCTCCTGTTTTAAATTCTTAGTGTACCCACTAGCTTATCTCATCATCATTCCTGACTGGTCATTGATCTTTGTTTTAACTGTATTTCAGTTATCTTCCTCTTTGGTTTCTTCCTTGTAACTTATTTTTATTTGTTCATAACTTTTTAACTTTTGCTTTCTTAAGTTTAGTTTGTGGATTTTTTCCTGACCTTTTAATAGTAAAAAAGCCCAAATCATTTATTTCAGTCTCTTGTTTGATGTATTTGTCTGTGATTTTTTTTTTTTTTTTTTTTTTTTTTTTTTTTTTTTTTTTTTTTTGGTCATTGAGCATAGCCTTATTTGTACTCATAGGTCTTATCTTTATCATCGTTGTTTTATAGATAGTCTTTGATTATATTTCAATTTCCCCTTTCAGTCAAGAGTTAAGTGAGAATTTCTCACATTTTCTAGTGGTTGGTTGGCAATAATTTATTCTAAATAAAAAAATCTATAATTAATCCTTTGCTGATGTATGCTTTTTAGTTCTAATACATCAGTGAATATTGTGACATACATTAAAATCTTGTGGCATTCATAGCACTAGATTTCTTTATGAATGCGATTAAATAAAAAGTTTAGAAGTAAACATATTTTTCCCACCTGAGCAACATACCCTGAATTAAAACTTATGCATGTGAATTGGCTCTTACTCTTTAGAATCTCAGTTTCATTTTTCAGTGAAAATACAGAGTATGGCTCTAATGTATTTGAAGAAAAAATATATATATATTATCAGGTACAGGATAAATCTGTAGATTAGACACAGCAGAGCTTTGGACCACTTTTTCAGAAAAGCAGTACTTCAAACTTTCATAGCCCTGGAAAGAGTAGAAAATTAATCAGAGAGCCTGATCCTATTAAACTCTAATTTCTAGACCCACTACCAATTCTTCCCACTTACCTCCTAGATTGCTACCTCCTAACTACTATATTAAAACACAGAAAATGGGAAGGAAGAAAAATAAGTTCCTATTTTTCTACCACCCACAGATAATAGTTTTAACATTTTTAAAGATTCAATTAATATTATATGTATAATATTCCTAATGAAAAGGAATAATCCCTTAAATCTTTTTCTGTTTCTTCTTTTCAACTCTAGTTTTCTTCCTACTGGATGCTCACAGCCATCATCTTTCTCAATTAGACAAAAAAATGTGACAGGTGTTTTCATTCCCCTGGGACTTTAAGAAGACAAGATGTACTTAATGCCTACATATTCTACAGACACATGGAAAAAGGAAATCTTTCCTTTCTGGTCAGTAGCTCAGTGCCCTGTGTTGAGTTCTCTGGGAAGAGCATGTGCTCCTGCAGAGAGACGAGCCACAAAGACAGAAAATCAAGAAAACATTAAAGGACTAAAATATTTTCACTGAGATTCTTTCACTGGGAATAACAGTCATTTTGACATTTTTATCCGAGCTCCAATATCCCTTCTAACACTACTAAAATTAAAAGCAAATTTTAGTAATGAGGGCTATTGAACAATGTTTCTGCACAGCCAAAGAGATAAATTTGAAAATATTGGAACTATTCCACAGGGACCAAGTATTGCAAAAGCAATGTGTGATTTCTTGGAAATCAGGGTTAAGTCACAGAAAAACTACTATACCAAGAGGAATCCTAACAAGACTTTGTCTCTTGTGTCTAAAGCACTATTATCTGCTTGATATAACCATAAATTTTGATCAGCTCAGGTTGGCAAATAATGGAACAACAACAAACCTCTGCTTGTCTGGACTTGTATTTGATCAATGAATAGAATGAAATGAAAAGGCTGTTTGCAAAAAAGGAGAATATTCCTTACTATTGGCTAGTATTTAGTCAAATTGTGTCCCTTCAACCCCCAGAAACAATTGCAGAATCTCTTCTGGAGGTCAGAGAAGTAAATAGGTAAGAAAGTCCTTTTTGCCTAGCTAATTCCTCCTTTTGAAGAAGGACAGAGCCCATCGAAGAAAAGAAGAGTGGCAATGGTGGTGATCTTGGTGACAGTGATGGTGATAGCTCTTACTATATCCTACACATCATGCTAAGTTTTTCATCCTAAATATCTCATTAAGTTGCACAGTACTAGGTATGTTCTGCCTGAAGTGCAAAGCAGATGACATGTAACTCAATATCACACAGTAGCAATGTATAAAATATGGACTAGATACAAAGGATAAATATTCTCATAATACAAACTAGAAGAAAGGCACAATGCCTTTAATGTTGCATCTTCCTTAGGGGTCATAAGTCAGTGATGCTAGCCATTACCCAAAGCTGAGAGGCACATTTTCATGGCCACCACAGAGACTAGATGCGGAGATCAGCTTCACCTTGGTATTTGCCACAGACTAAAGGACAATTTACTCATGTAGTCATTCATTCATTCAACAAACATTTATAGTGCATGTGTGTGCAAGATACTATGCCAATTTCATAGGAGATTCAAACACAAATCTAATGACACAAATAGATGTAAAACTGCAGCTTGACAAGTGCTATGGAAAAAAGTTTCACAGTGAAAATAACAGTGTATAACAGAAAAATCTAACCTAGTTATAGAGTTAAAGAAGGCTCTCCTGAGGAAATTACACTTGAGCTGAGGTCTGAAGAATAAGTAGGTATTAACTAAGCGAAGAAAGGACAATCAAAGGGTAGCATTACCAGAGGCCCTGTGGTGAGAAGAAAGAAGACATCAGTGAAAGGTGTGGGAAACCTTGAGTTTAGTGTGGAACAAGTTGGGTTGTAGCCATCTTTGAGACACACAAGATAATAGAGTCTAGATATTAGGAGAGCTCAGAGACTGCAGTTAAAGCTTTGTGAATCGTGCAAATTTGAAGTAACTAACAGACGCCACAAAACCAAACAAAGCCAGTTCACTGCACAGACGCACACACACATACGCACACATAAACACACAAATGCTTTAAACCGCTTTTTTTTTTTTTTTTTTTTTTTTTTTGAGACGGAGTCTCGCTCGGAGTCTTGCTCTGTCGCCCAGGCTGGAGTGCAGTGATGCGATCTCGGCGCCCACCACCACACCTGGCTAAATTTTGTATTTTTTAGTAGAGACAGGGTTTCACCGTGTTAGCCAGGATGGTCTCTATCTCCTGACCTCGTGATCCACCCGCCTGGGCCTCCCAAAGTGTTGGGATTACGGGCATGAGCCACCACGCCTGGCCATGCTTTAACCTCTTATCCTGTCTTTGGGTGGAAGCAGTTCCAGACTTCCCATCTAGTTCCAGCTTCTTAGATACGAAAATAATGTGGAATTTTTTTCAGCTATTATTTTCTGGAGCTCAAGGTATCAGATGTCTCTTTGCTTTGCAGAGATTTTATGAATACTTTTCATGGTGAAGAAAATATTCTCAAGGTTTAAAAATAGTTCTTTGTCAGTTTACGATTCTATTTCTACCAGGTAATTTACAATAACCATTTGGAATTTTACCTGTAGTCAAGACAATGGGAAAAAATTACTGTCAAATGAAGAATATTATATTCAAAAAGTTGGTAGCAAACTTTTCACTTGAGAATCTCGGTTCTCCCAAATTTAGATTTTGTTTTGAAATTTCCTGTACTGAGTTCAAATATGGAATCTCATTCTGGAGGCTAAATAAAATGTGAATGGTGCCTACTTGCATTTTGATAAATTGTTCATATCTAGGGACTTCATAATGGAAGTCACTGTCACCATTTTAATGTATTAAGGAACGGTTATGTGCAGATGGTATACATAGTCATTTCCTGAGTGTACAGGAGCCTGGGGTAAGTTGAGTCGTGATTTAATGATTTTTATCAGAACGAAATAAGCATTTGATCTTTGGATTTGATCACCTTCTATCTGCAGCTGCGCCTCAACTGGCAATTACTTCCTCCTGGGCTCTTTGCCCAGGCAAATGGGGTTTGTCCTTGTTTCACATCTCACTGACTTCCCGGATAATAGACATGGTAACTGTTTGAACTATTGCTTCCTCCGGATTCCATAGCTTTAAAAATTTAAGAAAGGGGATTTTTCTCCTATCATTTTTTCCCCATCACAATAAAATACTTCCTCTTATAATACACTTCGAGGACTAGTTAATTTCCTTACCATAAAAACTTAAAAGCAACCTTTTGAGAACTGTTCTTTACAATAGAATACAACCTTGTGTAACACTATTTAAAAAGAAAAACACGAGATCAAGATGGTGAGAGAACACTCACATCTGTTTATTCATCTCCCCCTTATTGATATTATTTCAGTAGGCTTCTTCTGTGTGGTTGAAGCCAATCATATTCTCCACCTCCTAAGCACGTTTTGCTTAAGGCAGAAAACAAAAGAATTTTCTTACTCTTTTCTTATTTCTTCCATGACTTCTTTGTATTTACTGCTCAATAATTAAAAACACATCATTTCTATTTTACGGTATATCATTTTGTCCTTCTGTGATTGTTTCAATGTAACTGTGAATAAAATAGGGCCTGTGACTCGACATTTTTCATATGTATGTGGTGGTTTCTGATTTCAAAGCAACACATTCAACAGATTTAGTTTTGCAGATGGGAAAGTTAATCAGATACATGCAGTATTTGTCTTCTCTGTCCATGTTTGCTAAAGCCTATCCCTATTCTGAATGGTATATTTTTCTACCTACCTCTTTAAAAAGATAACATAATTAAAATGGTTATCTACCCAACAACAACAGATAAATTTGTTGCCAGCTTATATCTTATATGTAGTTATCTGGTAAAAACGACTCTATTTACCAAATCTTATTACTCATCTGATAAAATGGCTCTAACTACTCTCCTTGTCTGTATGTATTTAGTAGATTAAAACCTGGGATCTTTAATCCAAGAAAATTAAATCTGCCCCAATTGTTATATTGATGTGCCATCTGTCATTCCAGGTGTTTTCCTGGTTTTTAAGAGCTGAGAAGTGAGTTGGCTTCCAACTCACCTGCATAGGTGGAAGTCTTCCCAGATGCTGTGCTTGAATCTCTAATTTGATATATTTACAAGACTTGCAGAGTCTGTGAGCTGTGTGAATACATCACACATAACAACTACAGATGTTTTAAAGGTATGCAAGGTGGGATATAGTTGTCTCCAACCTGGTGATTTTCATATCCCAACAGGTCAAAGGAAAAGCACATTAAGAGATGCAAAGAAGTATTTCATGGATTGAAAAAGCTAGATCTCTGGTCAATAAATATTTGATTATTGCTGACGTGTTTTAGCTTAGTGAAAAGCTGAGGAATATTGTATTAAATGAGTAAAGGGGGAAAAGGCCTAATAGGTAACATTTTATTTAGCGGTATTATTTAAAACAAAAGTTTGAAATTTCAGATTCAAGTACTCCATTATTTTCATATAAAAGTATACACACATGGGAAAATATACATATCATAAGTGTGCAGCTCAATGAATGTTCACAAAGTGAATATATCCACAGATTCCCCTTCTGCCCCTTCCAGTTACTATTCCCAGCCTTAAGGTTGACCCCATCTGGACTTCTAATAGTTGATTCACTTCTGTAGGGAGAGGGGGGATTTTTTAAATGATTTATTGAATTATAACTTATGTATATAATGGTATACAAATGATAAATGTATAACTCGTATTTTCACAAACTGAACACATTCATAAAACCAGATCAAGAAACAAAATGTTACTGGCATCCTAGAAGCATTTTGTACTTCTTGCAAACATTGCTTCCCACCAAGGCTAACCATTCCCGACGTCCACAACTCTAGTTTAGGTTTTGCTTATTTTTGTACCCTGCATAAACTGAATCAGGTGGTATGCACTCTCGTGTCTGACATCTTTCACTGGACATTACACATGTGAGATTCATCCATATCACCACACATAGTTCTATAACAGTTTATTCTCCTACAATGTGGACATGCTGCAGTTTATGTGCCCATTTATCACTAGTGGGCATTTGAGTTATTACAAATTGTGAAAACTCCATCTTTAACCTTTCTCTCAGGTTAATATCAGTTTTATTTCTGTGCATGTTCTGATAAGAAAAGATCATTTACTTGCCCTTAAAATGCTCTTGTCATACTCAGGGCTGCTGTTTGTCCTCTAAAAAGCATATGAAAGCTTTCACTCCCCAGTTATAAAAAGATTGGGTCTTCTGATGTTAGGGTCTGAGAGGAACTCCAACTATTTAACAGGGCATTTAATTGGTAAATCATCAAAGGATTGTAACATTTTCAGCAATTAACTTAACTCATTTGTTGAGTCAGTTGAATTTAGAATATATTCAGAAAACATCTTTGAGTTCTCAATTATTGCCTTCAATAATTGGATCTTCTCCTCTACTCTTTAACTGCATAGTTTTCTCACAAGCATAATTTTTTTTTTTTTTTTTTAATGGAGTCTCACTCTGTCGCCCAGGCTGAAGTGCAGTGGCTCAATCTCGGCTCAGTGCAACCTCTGCCTCTAGGTTCAAGCGATTCTCCTGCCTCAGCCTCCCAAGTAGCTGGGATTACAGGTGCCTGCCACCTTGCCCGGCTAATTTTCTTTGTAGTTTTAGTAGAGTCAGGGTTTCACCGTCTTGGCCAGGCTGGTCTTGAACTTCTGACCTGACCTCGTGATCCACCTGCCTCGGCCTCCCAAAGGTATTGTTTTAAAAACCTGCTCTGCCCTAAATCAAAACTTCAGTCTCTCAATTAAACCTTCTCCCCTCCCACTAGCTCAGCTTCATTCCTTTGTTCAGAAACACAATGGGAAGAAGGAGGGCTCAATCTATTCTTTCATATTCCTTGCTCCCCAAGGCTCCTTCTGTGGCTCTGGATCTTCCAAGGTTGGTTTAATGGAGAATTTGGAAAGGGGAAAGGAAGTCTTTGTCATGGCAACCACCAAATTCTGGATCTTTTGTGGAGTACATAGTGGGTTCTTTGAATTCCAGTGGGGACTTCTGATTCAACTAATATATTCTTCAGCTGACTTTTGGAAGCATCCCTTGTTGGGATTTCTATTCCTCTGGGGTCCCCTCACCTTGGCAGACTCTCTTGGTTAATATTCTTTCAGCATGGTGGGTTTTACCTTGTGCTCAAGAATTTACTGTCTTGTGCCCCTCCAAATCATGGGAATATCCTTACTGAACCCTCTTTTTTCTTCTGATATGATGGAAAGCTCCAGTCAATGAGTATGATGCCCTTCTCACAAGCACTTCAAATACTTAGGAAGGAAAGGGTGGCAAATATCTCCCTCCCCTCTTTGTCTTCCTCACATGAATTTATTTCAAATAATCCCTTCTATTAATCTCCAGCCTTTTTTTTCCCAGCTTGAATGGGGTTGTAGTCACTAGATTGGTTTTGCTGTCTTTTGTTAATATCTCATAAGGAAGTATCAGACATCTGTCTTTAGAATGTGTAGTTATCATCCATTCATCTCAGTTTTGAAGCCTTAACCAAAATGTTGAAGTAATAGAAAAAGACCTAGTTAACGCTGTTATTGAAGAGCAGAGACAGGTTCAAACTGGGCTTATTTACAGAATACCTACACTACCTGAAACCACCAAATATACTTTTAGGGAATAAGATTGGACTAGATAGTTGGTTAAAAAGGTAAAAATTCTTTATACCCAACAACTGTTGAGTAGGCCATGTGGAGAATACAAAAATGTTTAAACTCTGAAAGCTCTTGAGCAAGCTTGAAAGGCAGGATTTGCATTCTTAAAACTATTAGCATGTCATGATTGTGCTCTATAAAAGGGAAGATGAAATGTGACAGGTAAATCATTATCCAGAAGTTCAGCTGAGCACAGGGAAGCATTAGCCATCTCTCCTCATTACTGAGGAGCTACTGCTTTGTGCCATGCGTATTGTCTCAAATGTCCAGACCAGCTGACCGGGAGCTGTCCCCCATCAGGGCAATGCAATACTCCCTATTGAAACATCAAGAACAATCAATCAACACAAGAGGAGAACCATAATATTGAGTACATGGAGGAGAATTTTTGTGTTTTTCTGATTTAGTATGTTCTACATAGCATTGCTCCTTTTGAGCTATATCAGACTTTGAATCTGGTCTCCCTCAAACTTTTTCATTAAAGAATCTCTGCGAGTGGAAAAGTATAAATGATTGATTACCTCTCAAAGTTCTAGAGGCTTAGCTTGCGGTAGGCTATCACAAATTTGAAATGTCTTTGACAGTTTCTATTTTATTTTCAAACATCATATGAACTTAACACTTAAGCCACAATGTATCTCCGATGGCTTGAATATTTGTCCTTTCCAAAACTCGTGTTGAAATTTAATTCCTAATGTGGCAGTATTGAGAAGGGGGGACCTTGGAGAGATGATTGGGTCATGGGAGCTCTGCCCTCATGAATGGATTAATCTGTTCAAGGATTAATGTATTAATGGGTTATTATGGGAGTGGGACTCGTGGCTTTATACGAAGAGGAAGAGACCTGAGCTAGCATACTCAGACCCCTCACCATACACTGCCACCTCAGCACTCTGCAGAGTCCCCACCAGCAAGCAGACCCTCACCAGATGTAGCCTCTTGGACTTCTTGGACTTCTCAGCCTTGGAGCTTTCTTCTCAGGCCCCCATGGACTTGGACCTTGGACTTCTCAGCCTTCATAACGATAAGAAATAAATTCATTTTCAGTATAAATTAACCAGTTTCAGGTATTCAGTTATGAGCAACAGAAAATGGACCAAGACAGTATCTCATTGTTTTCATTTAAAAAGCACAATGACTTAAATTATTTACCATCAAATAAGGCTGTATCTCTGTATATTATACCCCCAGGTATACTACTATATACCCTAAGGATTATACTTACTTCAATTTGAGAAGATAAATGTTATTATCTTGAGTTAAACATTAGTTTCTAAGCTTCTTTTAAATGTAAATGACACTTCAGGACAGTTTTGAAAGCTCTTTGCTTTTAAAAGTTAGCAAAGAAGCCTCAGTCTTTATATTGTACTGAGAAACGTATTTTAATAATAAGGGGTATAAATATGAATATCTCATGAATAATAGCATCAATAACACTTGACAGTTTAATGAACCAGAATTTTCACAACATAGCCATATATCCTAGTCCTCCTAAATATATCTCCTATTTCTTATCTTGTAATCCTGTTAGATAGAGGAGGATTTAAGATCTCCACTTAAGAGGCGAGGAAACTGATGTTTACAGTGATTAAGTGACTTGCCTGTGCTTACAATTGATAACTCACTAGCCTGTAAGCTCCATGAGGGCAGGGACCTTGTCTATTTTGTTTACCATTTATCTTCACCCTCCAGTGCAATGCCTGGCAAACATTAAGAACTCAATAAATACTTAATAATTTAATCTCCAGACTTCTAGTTGTCGCTTTCTTTCCCTATACAGAGTACTGAATAATTCTTCCCAGAAGGAAACAGCAGAAAGAAGACCAACTGAAGAACCAAAGCAAAATCTGTCCTCTTTTCCAATTTTCTAAGGACTAGCTCTGAAATGCTGTATCAGGAAGGGAAACAAAACGATAACATTCATTTTCTCTTCTAGAGCTGAGATTTTTTTTTTTTAACCTGAATTTGTCACACTTTTTTTTAAAGTGGATTTCCTTACCAATGATATAATACTTAAGGCTAAAAGTACAGGTGCTAAGATGGACATGAAAAAGAATGACCTCATGGATTTTTTGGTGTTTCTAAACAACTTGCTGTGAAAGAAGGGCATTCCGTATGGTGAACTCAAATGCCCCTATACCAGGGTCAGCCTTGATGGTAAACAGTAAAAGGTCTGGATTGCTTGTTAAAACTGAACTAAGCAACAAACTCTTAGAGACTTAGAAAATCAGCACAGATGTGCTTCCATGTCCCAGAGTTGTCACTGCCATTCAATACCATTACTGTAGCTTAATGACATGGGAGCATGGGGTCCTGAGGAAGTCAATAAAAGAGCGTATGAAGAAAATGATAAAAAGAGATCCATGAGCAGAAGGAAATGAATTTATTCTTACCATGGAGTAGATTAAATGAAACAATTTTGCTCCTGAACACTGAAAAAATGGTCATAGATTGACTCCTCTCCATTGAGTGAGGAAAAAAGGCATCTCTTTCACT